CATTATTACCTACCAAACAACCTTATTACCTACCAAACAACCTTATTACCTACCAAACAACCTTCTTACCTACCAAACAACTTTCCTACCAACCAAACAACATTATTACCTACCATACAACCTTCCTACCAACCAAACAACATTATCACCTACCATACAACCTTCCTACCAACCAAACAACATTATTACCTACCATACAACCTTCTTACCTACCATACAACCTTCTTATCTACCATACAACCTAAATACCTACCAAACAACCTTCTTACCTGCCATATAACATGCTTATCGATAGTATACGTAACTTTTCAATCGACGATATATCCTGCCAGCACTTCCAAGCAGCTACAGTATATTACCATTTTGCTTATTACTCAAACTCTGTATGAATCATTCATTTCTATTCGTGCATTTTTCTATACGTCTGGATTAACTTTGGAAAATGAAAGCAAAAATTCATAAGGATTAACGTACCACTGCCAAAAAACTCTAAGAAAAATTTGGGAGCTGTTTATTCCTGCATGACTTTAGCTTTTATAAATCATTTCTGAAAAGAAACCCCTATCTTACGAGACTGTTATGAAAAAAATATGAAGGTGAGAAAAATACAATCAACATGAGTGTTCTAAATGTAAAAGTTTAGCGGGGTTAGGCCAGTACTCGATCCCAGGAGTTCATTCTGTTACACTACTGCTCTACCTAGTCGACAGGGCTACCTAGTCAACGGCGGCTTCATTTATATCCCAACGGAGGTTAAGGGGGTGGGGGCTACGTATGTATAAATATCTAGAGCGCTTTATCTGGAATGAACAGATTTCATGGTATACAATGATTTATACAAACAAGTATAATTGCAAGTACTGCGTAATCTATGACAACAAAATTAGTCAAGTATTCAAATAAAACACACACCAAATTATAAACGATATGTAACATGACTTTTTGTGTTTTGTCAGATTTTGGAGGAACTAGGAGGAGTGAGTTTTGCCGGGGCAGAGTAAATGGTATCTACAAAGATCCACATTCGTGCGAGAAGTTTATCGAGTGTTCTCATGGTATCACGTATCGCACGAGCTGTGGACCCGGACGTGCGTTCCACCCCCAATTTCTCATCTGTGACTATACCTTTAATGTGCAAGGGTGTGCTTAGTGGCCTATGTGTGGACATACCGCTTACAACAATGCTCAACTAATGTCTCAAAAACTTTCATATACACACTGTTCTTTAAATTTTCTGATGCGCGTTTCAGAGATCAAAATGGCGGACCATTGAACAAGAAATTGTTTTCATTGGTTTCTATTTTACATGTACGTAACCATCCTCGATATCCAGGAGTTACGCTTACTTCCGCTCTCTACACCCCGCGAATTTGTCATGGCAAAATTAAAGGCTCGATGTGCGCCACCTTGTTGAAAACTAGTTCGATCCTTTGATGTACATCAAAAGAATCTCGCGGTTACGTAACGGTAAAATTGACAGGCTTTGAAGTCGGGCGTCTCTCCTTTGTAATCTTCAAAGGATATGTATCAGCCTAGCTATGGGTCAATATTTTTTACCTGAGACCAATCAAACAGCTATCTTCGTGCCTTCAATTTTGCCATGACATATTCCAGGGGTGTAGAGAGCGAAAGTAAGCGTAACCCCTGGATATCGAGGATGATACGTAACCTGTTGTAGTAATCTACTTTAATAGACCTGTCAAATAGAATTACGACTCATAGGAGTATGTTTTTAAATTGTATGCGCTGGATCGTCACACATTATATCAATACCTGCCAGACAGGTGGTACTAGAGTCAGCGTGTTCAAAACAAAGATCTCATGGCGGGAGCACTTAAAATGGTACGACTGTCCAGGGCCGTTTTCGTTTATCGCGATCCAAACGGTTGAACCGGTTAAACCAGAATTGTTCGTTTGTGAAAAAGGTCGGACTTAGTAATATGATGCGCCTTGACAAAGGCTTACAAAGCCTGCATAAAGATTTGCAGGTCCGCCAGGATTTATACCCGAAAATGCTACTTTTAAAAACAGACAAACCGGTTGTTCCGCATAAACGAACAGGCCTTTTGAACAGTTTGTGTAGGCTATCGTCGGTTCTTACTTTCTATCGTTGCACCCTCCAAACACTTAGTTTAATAAGTTTGATACAGAATTATTATATGAAATAAAAAGAAAAAGGAGAAAATTTGAATGTTTGTTTTTTATCAGTTAGAAATATGTATGTAAACATTCGATGTGAATATGGAGTAGTAACAAATACATATATTACATGACGGTAAGTAAATCCTGATGCACTCATCATCCACAGGAACCTAAGTATTATCACAGTATGTGTGGACCATGCACTCATCACCCACAGGGACCTAAGCATTATCACAGTATGTGTGGACCATGCACTCATCGCCCACAGGGACCTAAGTATTATCATAGTATGTGTGGACCATGCACTCATCACCCACAGGGACCTAAGCATTATCACAGTATGTGTGGATCGTCTACTTGTCTGTAAGGAGTGTCATCAGAGGGTTAGTTGCTTACATCTGTAGAAAAGGTGACGGGCATTCTAGGTTCTAAAAGGGAACTCAACGAACTTTCTTGCTGCAGCTCTCTGTTGAGTTTGCCAAGTAAGCTTAGTATTGTTGGAATGATTGATATCTTTCCTTTCACTTTCTTTATCCATGCAAAATGTTCACTATTTATGTAGGCGTGGTCTCTTTCAGAGCCACGTTTGGAATATTTCACATTCAATTGGTTAGTTATTGTAGGTGCATGTTTCTTCTGGTGGTTTAACGTCGACATTACCCACGGACGTAAGTACGTGTTTTTCACCCCAGTAACACTTCTCACAATAAATGTTATTTTAATAAATGTTGTTTTACATATTTATTCAATATCGAAAGTATAAGGGAATACCTATATTTAGATCAAAACAAAAGGATTTGACGGCATTTTTTAAATGTTAATGCCGGTATGAATGCATCAGAGAGGTACATACTACGCTTTAGATGTTTCATACATATGTATTATCAGAGACGTATAATACGTATTATATTATTATACGTCTCTGTTATGTAACATAAAGCCCTACCTTGAAACCCTAACAGGTGATTCAGGATAAATATGTATCTATCCAATTTGCGTTGATACCAGCATAAACATTGAAATTGTCAGAAAATTATTATCAGCTTTTAAACCCAGTTGAAGCAATATTTACATTTAATTCGATTCCTTGGTCAAATAAGGCCTGTGGAGGTCACGTGACACTGCCTATTCACAGAAACATTTTTTTCCGTATGAAAAATACGTCAGTGCATGCTAATTGCCAATACGTGTAAAAATAACTTCCACGGCTGGTCAATAGTCTGTAAATATCAACCACGGCTGGTCAATAGTCTGTACTTATCAACCACGGCTGGTTAATAGTCTGTACATATCAACCACGGCTGGTTAATAGTCTACATATCAACCACGGCTGGTCAATAGTCTGTACATATCAACCACGGCTGGAAACAATTGGATTACATAGAAGTTGAAAAATTCATACATATTTCTGTAAAAAAAACAACTAGGTGTGGGTAAAAATACATGTAATGACCTTGTATATTACGAATAAGGTAGACTTCCAATGTGTATTGTTTGGAAAATAAAAATATTAAAATACTGGGTTAAAGTGAAAGAAACAGACAATTGTATATTGAAAGCATGTTATGGACAGAGAATATTAGATAATGATGATTGGATTATAAATATACAATCAGAATTGAATAAGTTAGGATTAGGGTATTTATGGAATAACTGCTATGAAAGTAAGATTGTGTACAAGGTAATAGAGCACAAATTGTATGATATACATGTACAAGAAATTTTGTCTAAAATACAGAATTCCCCAAAAGGAACATTGTATCAGCATTTAGTAGATGATTTTGGTCTGCAATACTACCCGAAAAAAAACTATTGATCAGTTGTATAAGAACAGTATTTCATGTATTCGCTTAAGCGCCCACAAGCTCAATATTGAAATTGGAAGATACAATAATTTAGCTAGGTCCAATAGCGTTTGTATATTATGTGATACTCATGATATTGAGGATGAGTTTCACTTCATCCTTAAGTGTCTTATTTATGTAGATTTACGGGTGAGACACCTGAAGCCATACTATTTTAGTCGTCCCAGTGTATTTAAACTTGTTCAATTGCTCAGTGCTAATAATGTAAAAGATTTGTGTAATCTTGGTAAATATATAAGATTTGCTTTTAAGAAGCGCTCTCAGTCATTTTAGTATTATCACATTCTTGTGTGTGTGTATGTGTGTGTGTGTGTGTGTATGTGTGTGTATGTGTGTATATGATACGATTATATACAATTATCACTCTCCTGTACATCATTTCTCTGTTTAACCTGGTAATATGTATTAATATTGTGTTTTGTATCTTTTAGGTCGTAAGGCTTACAGAATAAACTAATTGAATTGAATTGATCACATGATAGGGAAATTAAAACAAGTTACAAGAGGCCCAGAGGGCCTGTATCGCTCACCTGGATATCTAAGCAGTCATGGCAAACATTCTCCAAATGAGATCCAAGGGAATATGCCAGACCCCAATCCAATTCTTGTAGTATGTCTGTATTAGATTTTTCATGCCCAGCAATTTAATGTATGGTTACGGGGAGGGAATATCAACTGATTCCAAGCTGTGACTCAGAAACTAGATCCCTAGGGTTGTGGCCAGACCCAAGGATCAATTCTAATATCATGACTGCATTTCTCTCTTTTTGCCCAGCATTTGTATATATAGTTTTGGGGTGGGGATCTCAACCGTTTCAAAGTTATGACCCAGAGGTTAAGTCTGCAAGGGTGGGGCAGACCCTGGGGTCAATTCTAATATCATGACTGCATTCGTCTCATTATGACCAACAATTGTATATATAGTTTTGGGGTGGGGATCTTAACCATTTCGAAGTTATGACCCAGGGGTTAAATCTCCACGGATGGGGCAGTCTCCAATGCCATCCTGGAAGCATATGTGCATTCATCTCTTTATTCTCAGCAATTGTATATATGGTTATATGGTGGGGATCTCAACTGTTTCCAAGCTGTGACTTAGAAACTAGGTCCCTAGGAGTTCGGTCAGACCCCAGGGTCTATTCTAATATAATGACTGCATTCGTCTCTTTATGCCCAGCATTTGTATATATATATTTGGGTTGGTGATCTCAACCATTTTAAAGTTATGGCCTAGGGACTAGTATGTATCCAAGGGTGGGGCCAGACCCTAGAGCCATCCTGGAAGCAAATGTGCATTCTTCTCTTTATACTCAGCAATTGTATATATGGTTATATTGTGGGGATCTCAACCATTTCCAAGTAATAAACCTTTTTTAGCCCCTCCACTTGTACAATTTTGAATCCCTGCCTCCAATGAATGCTTCCGACCAAATATGATCGATATCCATGGCATAGTTTTACAGAAGAAGTCCTTTATAGCAATATAGCCAAATTGCCCCCTTTTGGCTCCGCCCTCAGTCCCCTGGGGGGGGGGGTCAGCCCCACCATTTGTACAATTTTGTATTCCCCACCACCTAGTGATGCTTCCAGTCAAATATGGTTTATATATATCTCTTAGTTCCAGAGAAGAAGTCGCTTAAAGCAATATAGCCAAATAACCCTTTTTGGCCCGCCCCTCAGCCACCTGAGGGGTCAGTCACACCATTTGAACAATTTTGAAACCCTGCCTCCCATGAATGCTTTTGATTAAATATGATTTATATCCAGTGCATAGTTCTACAGAAGAAGTCGTTTGTAGAAATATAGCCAAACTGTTCCCTTTTGGCCCCGCCCTTCAGCCCCCTGGGGGTGGAGTGGGGGGTGGGGGGTCAGCCCAACCATTTGTACAATTTTGAATCTCCACCACCTAGGGATTCTTCCAGTCAAATATGGTTGATATATACATGTATATCTTAGTTCCGGAGAAGTCGCTTAAAGCAATATAGCCAAATAACCCTTTTTGGCCCCGCCCCTCAGCCACCTGGGGGTCAGTCACACCATTTGTACAATTTTGAATCTCTGCCTCCCATGAATGCTTTTGATTAAATATGATTGATAACCAGTGCATAGTTCTACAGAAGAAGTCGTTTGTAGCAATACAGCCAAATTGTCCCCTTTTGGCCCCGCCCTTCAGCCCCCTGAGGGTTCAGCCCAACCATTTGTACAATTTTGAATCTCCACCACCTTTGGATGCTTCCAGTCAAATATGGTTGATATATATCTCTTAGTTCCAGAGAAGAAGTCGCTTAAAGCAATAAAGCCAAATAACCCTTTTTGGCCCGCCCCTCAGCAACCTGGGGTGTCAGTCGAACCATTTGTACAATTTTGAATCCCCACCACCTATGGATGCTTCCAGTCAAATTTAGTTAAATTCCAATCAGTGGTTAAGAAGAAGAAGTCGTTGAAATAAATTGTTGACGGACGGACGGACGACGGACAGACGATGGACGACGGACGCCACGATATGGCATAAGCTCACCAGGGTCCTTCGGACCAGGTGAGCTAAAAATGTGTAATCCTCACGCCTGAAGTTCCCGCTGTCATATTTCCCTATTTGGAGCCTCTCTTTCGATATATGCTTAGGACTGAAGCAGACGACAACAATGACGCTTCAATCAGACCATCTTTACTATCATGTTATTGGTTTATCTCGGTATAATCGAATACTTAATTATTGCCCTTGTAGTTGGGAAACACGATTCTTTGTTTCCCTTGATTAATCAAATTTCACTTAGCTTTGCCCTCGTGAAACATGATGAATATTTGGGAAGCCAAGAATCGTGTTATCAAATTGCATTGTATTGAATGACAATATAAAATGCTCATCAAAAAAAGAGTTTGTTATCGAGTTGTGTAGCGAGGTTTTAACGCCGAAATTCAATGTTGATTTGTAAGCCAAATTATTATCTTACCAATTCCACACATCCATATACAGTCTGTCAAAACAGAGATTTATAGTATATAGTCGCTGGTCAAAATGAGCCGAATTTATATTACAACTTTAAGAAAACAGAAACATTAGCGCTGAAGAGCTATTATTACCACAAAACATAAGAAAAAATATCACAGCAAGGTAACAAAACATATATAAAAGTACTATTGCTAAGTATGGGGAAATTTGTTAAAACATATTATTATAACTTAAGTTTTCTGGATGATTAATTTCAAATGTTTGCTTATAATTAGTTTTCTCTTTATTTTCTCCATTCTTGAAGAAGATATAAATACATATTTATATTACTGTTCTTATACAACCAGATGATTTCCCAATGAGGAGACAATATTTGCTATAACTTAAACATGAGAAGTAGGTTGTGGAATATCTCGTAGGTCAGAATTGGTAGGATGTTTTAATATTACCGTATGTGAATGCTGAATTTCAATGTATGTTGAAACATGTGACACTTTTATAAACTAGTTTACTAAAACTCTTACACCTCTGTCTAGTAAACATTTCCCAGATCTGTAGGGAAGGTGACAAGTTGACATACACTGCCAAATACACAAGTGAACTCACACAGGTAACACTTACCCGATTCGAAGTCGCCCTGATCAGAGACGTATATTACGTCTCGGTCCTGATTAACAGAATCTGGTCACGCTCATATGCATTTACTTTGGTTACACACAGAATTCACCTTTGGCCATAATTAATCGATAGCTTTTATTCTTAGAAAGCCGAGTCCGTCAATTCAATTCTTTTATTCTGTAAGCCATTTCGGCTTATAAGACAAATTACGTGTGTACAATACAGTTATTATATAACAATTACATACATAGCATTCATGCAATTGTACCTGTAATAAGGAGAGTAATATATGCCAGACACACACACACATATATATATATATATATATAAGACTATGATACTCGAGAACGTTGCTTAAATGCGAAATGTATGAATTTTCCTAGATTGTTTATTTCTTTAACATTATTTACACTAAGTAATTGTATAAATTTAAACACACTTGGTTTGCGATAATAGTATGGCTTTAAGGATTTAAAGCGTATGTTGCAATAAAATGGACACTTCAAAATAAAGTGAAATTCGTCCTCTATATCATTGAGATCACATAATTCACATACCCTTTCGGTCCTAGCAGTATTCGTATATCTCCCACTTTCTATCTTAAGGTTATGTGATGATAATCGAATACGGGAATACGAGGTTAACACGAGGTTCCATTCCCTGTTGTTACATACGTCTCATTGTGTGGTTGTCTACGATTTCGATAACAGTTTAGTAATGACTGCCTGTGCTGTTAAGGTTAATTTATATACATTATAAACTGTATGAAGCCGATACTAAACACAACAATATAAACAATAGTATAGGATACACAGAATCAAACTGTTTGGAAATTGCATATCTGGAAAAAATGAAGTTTATTATATAACGAACTCGGTGCAATCCAAATAGACTTCCGACTCGCGTGCGCTTTGGTAAGAGATTCAGACAGGTTATCATCTCTTTAGAAGATATGTCTCTGTTAGTGATGTTCAAGTTCAAGTTCTTTATTACTTTAAGTCGGTTGACTTATCAGTTATAACATATATACAAAACAAAAATGTAGATATTATAAAACGTTCCACTTTCTCTGTGTTTGATTTGTTTTGTGTTTCCTATATATACGTCTTTGTTTTTACAGTAGGAATATGTTCAAAAGCGTTTCATTGACAATACATATATAATACAAACATATAAGTTAAAATAAAAACATTGTCGACAAAAGAATCAGACAACAGGCTATGCCTATATCAATCTTCTTCTATTTCCGGTAGCTATGTACAATGATTAAATGTATATAATGTTGTAATTCATGTTCCTCTCACACACATGCACACACACATGCACACCTACATTGGCTTAAGCGTAATACTCATTGTTAGAGGGGCAAAACTTGCCTTGGTAATAATAACAATACATGAATATTAATTTGGAATTTATCTAGCATGTATAAGTAACGAAACGTTTTGATGATGTAATATAAAAGTCAACATGTATAAGAATAGTTTTATTTAATTGTTCAGATGCATTACTAATACCATATTATAAACAGTGCATATTTAAATATCATAATAGATTATAAATAGTGGTAATATGATGCCTCATATTTGAATACAGAGGACATTGAAAGAAAAAATGTATTAGATCTTCCCTCTGTGCACCACATACACAGGAAGCATCATCAAGCAGATGGTCTTGTAACTTATCAAAGTTAGATCACTTTCAAAATTTCTTAGCTGACATAAATTGATGTTAAATTTCCTCGGAACACAGTTGATAAAAGTTTCTGAGAAAGACGTATTAAAGTTGCTTTTTAAAAGATGAAATTGAGATAGAATCTCGTACAGTGCTATCAAGTGCATTCCATTTGACCATTGTAGAAGGCAAGAAGCTATTCATATAAGTAGTAGTTCTTGTCTGTGGTATTCAAAATCAGTTATTTCTGAAGGTATAGCTATTCATCATCGAGATAAGTTGGAGTGTAATTATTATAAATCTTATACATTAATGTTAGTTTATGATTTTGTCTTCGTGTGTGTAATGTTTCAAGTTGTGTTTCAGTATACAGAATGTGATGAGATGTACCTCGTCTGAGGCCATTATAATTTAATATATTCAGTACTTAACATTCATAATATACAATTTTAAAATTTGTATGAGTGTAGCAAGATTCTTATTTCGATAACGTTTGATAATGCATTGTGAAATTGGAGGCAAGTCTTTACCACTTTTGTACATTAAGACATGTCCTAGGGTTCAATGAGCGTACACTCAAGTTGTTGTAACACGTTAAAAGTTCTATAATATATCTAATTTACAAGACCTTATAGGGGACGAAAGGTTTCTAGAAATTAGAGGGAAAATAAAAAAAAAAGATATATATAGTTAAATATTATGTCGTCCTCTGAATTGTACAACACTATTATTTATAAGTCTGACATCTGTGATCATTTCACCATAATGCCCTTTTTTGCGTCCAGTTTTCTTGCTGAATCACTCAAAATCAGAATATTAACCAAGTTGATGATATGCAGTTTGTAATTGTACACTCAATCTATAACTCAAAGTTTATAATTTTCTTTTAATTGTAGAAACCTTTTATTCTCAATTATGTCTTACATATTAACAGGTTTATGGCTTAATGTTGTTTGTTATTACATGTCTACATAGGTTTTATAGAACGAAGATCTTGACCTCAGAGTACTCGTCATTATAAACACTAACGGTGGGGAGTATCCAATCCAAAGTGATTAAACAACAAATCTAGATCTATCGGCTACGGCTAATAGATAGCAGTTCAGTCGGACACGTACTGGTTACAGCAGTCCATTAGATAGCAGTTCAGTCGGACACGTACTAGTTACAGCAGTCCATTAGATAGCAGTTCTGTCGGACACGTACAAGTTACAGCAGTCCATTAGATAGCAGTTCAGTCGGACACGTACTAGTTAATGATTATTACAAAGAGTAACGTAAGTTTGAGAGTATGGGACTTGAACATGTTTAAATTGGCTGAAAGTTGTAGAACTGTAACTGGAGTGATGTAGATAGAGTCTATCAAGAAATGTAATTGTTAGTGAATTATATTTGTTTCCCCGTCGGAAACATATGACATTTGTTATATATTTGGTTATATTTACAAATGATCAATATCATTTTTAATTGCATTACATTTTTTCCCCCGTCGGAAACATACGACATTATTTATATATTTGGTTATATTTACGAAGGATCAATTACATTTTTAATTGCATCGGTACCTTTTTTCCCCCGTCGGAAACATATAACATTATTTATATATTTGGTTATATTTACGAATGATCAATTACATTTTTTCCCCGTCGGAAACATATGATATTATTTATATATTTGGTTATATTTACAAATGATCAATTACATTTTTAATTGCATTACAATTACATTTGTTTCCCCATCGGAAACATATGACATTATTTATATATATGGTTATATTTACGTTAGATCTTCCTGAACTCTAATGAATCTGGGATATATATAAAAAAAAAATGATATCTAATTTTTTATTTTATTTTATCTTTATAAGGGTTATCTCAGAGATAAGGTACTTATAATATCACATTTGAACAAGTAAATAGATTTGAACACATATAAGAAACATTAATTATTTTTCCCATTCAAACCGGTAATTATTAAAGCCGAAAACTTTTAATATTACCAGTATTTGTTTACCCATTGTTTACCTATAGATAACTATATCAGTGTCATTCGACTGACAGTGTTTGTTTAACACGGGTTAATCCCCGATCCATCTACCATAGATTCCCACCTACTTGTGTACGTAGCGCGAGGGACCGAACTCGTAGATAATATACGGGTGTTAATTGCCCAAAGACCAGGATCACTATGGCCTTTGTGACGTCACCGGTCTGTATGCTGTCGATTACTTCCGTAACGACTTGTCACCTCCATTGTCTAAACACGGCCATCTTGAGTACACCCCACAACTAACAATCAGCAAGCCAAACTCTGGACCGCCCTCCCAGCTGACTCCGTCCAATGGGTACAGCACATCGCACGCCAAAGACACGGGGTAGTTCCATAAATCCACGAGAATTGTCAGAACGTCACCACAGCTTCTGATACTGTTCTAACATACGCATCAACGCTCTAGGATCTCATCAGAAACACTCAACTTAAATAACAAACAAACAGCACTGATGGATGCCTCCTTACTTCAGCCCCTGTTTGTCGATTGTAGCGTCGAGTACGAGTTGGATATGACAAGGTTCCCTGGGTGGGACGATCCCGAGGCCAGGGCTCAACCGACCTTGATGCTGCCCTACCCCGACCGTCAATACAACAGCTCGTGTCCGTCTGTTGATGATGAGCTACAGAATGTTCTACGGAAACTCAGTACGACCGAGGACGAGTTCCAGACCCTACTACGGGAATTCATTATGACCGAGGATGAGCTCCATAGTTTTGTCCAGGACTTCTGCCCTAGTTTAGAGTCTAGTGAAGACGACCTTCCTTCAATTATTGGTGAGTTGAAAAAAAAAGAGAAAAAAAATGGAATTTCTACATCTTTCAAAGCATATAAAACAAAGATCAATTGAATACAGATAATATACATTAATGGATTGTGCTTATATACATTTGCAGTGGGTGACTGGGTACAAATTATATAAAAATGACACTAAATATAAAGTTTTGATGTTTAAAACTCCCCGCAAGCTGAAGTAAATACATTTTATGTTTTAATTCCACTGTTTGAATACTCTCACAATTATTATTTAGATGAAAGTATCACTAGGGTTCATGGTTAGAACATTTAAACTGAACACGGACGGTTTTAGTACACAATTATATGTACTGGTTATGCTTTTCTAGTAAAATTAAGCAGAAATAATGATGACACCAAAAGAGAGAATATCAATGATAGAATGTTATCTAGTTACTTTGTAATACAATTATGGGTTGTAACCCAGTGCCAACAGCATATTAGCAAAACGGGGACGGGAATCGGTATCTCGATCTGAACGGGTTTACGAGGCGTAATGATATAGTACATTGATATAAACTTTTGTTATTATGCCTCAATTACGAATTTGACGTGGAAGATTTATTTCATAAGTGTAGTATGAAATCTTTAAACTTTAGATAAACTTGGTTGATGAATAATCCAGACAGCATTATCATAATCTATCAAAGTATAAAAGTTTACAGCTAAAACCAAGTTGATTGAACAGGAGTTCCAATATGTACAATACACAACTACTATCTACACAAGTGATTTCAAGGGTGAACGTTATAGGAATGTAACCCCCTTATTTATGATTAGGTCGGTAATTACATGATATACTCATTATACACGTATGTTAATTAATTCTTTTTCCCCCATTCCAGATGATGTCTTCAGTTACGCCGATATCTTGTTGACGATGACCGGTGCTATTAGTCCATCAGACAGCGACCACTCCCAGTCTCCAGAGACGTTTGAATCGGCCACACAGACAGACGATACCTTCATGCCGGATGGACCTACCTTGGTGGACTTCTTGTCCGACTTCTACATCAGAGACCCGTCGTCATCGACATGTTTCTCCTCTATCGACACCCTGTCGTCACCGACATGTTTCTCCTCTATCGACACCCTGTCGTCAACACCGACCGTCGAATGCGGCATCGACTTCTATCTCCACAGTCAAGAACTACATCACTCGTGCAGGAAGAGGCAGATTTCTGACGACTCCTATCAACCATCAGCAAAGAGGCAGTGTAACCATGGCGATGACTACCACAACGAACTACTTTCGTCCTTCATTACGGACAGTTCCGAGAACGAGATGAGTTATGGCTTTAGCGGATGTGTTCGTGACTAAATAAATTATAATAATAGTGCGTGCTGAAATCATAATCTGATCTCTGTATTATCACAAATAGCTAGTGTTATAGAACGGACACAACATGCTGGACGTATCTATTAATGGGGGATGCTGTCTGTATCCCGATAAAACGCTATGATGACAGATCCTGTAATAGTGCTGTGTTTTTATTGTTACGGTTTTAATCCGGTCGTTTTTATACTTGTTTTTGAGTTATTATCGTATAATAGTGCCAAAGATGAATAAAAATGTTCAGAAATTATTTCATTGTTTTCTTGTCTTGATATCAGTTTAGCGATTGTCTCCCTCCCCGGACTTGTTTAAAACCTCAACTACTCCTCTCAGATTATAGATTTTGGTTCGTCTATTTTGTTGGGAGTGTGTCTGCATTTGTAATCATACATCCGATTATGTAAATACCGGAAACAATTGTTCAGATTAAATAACAGAAAATAGTCTATTTATAGCCGCCCTTGACCTTCGCTTTCTCACATAGTGACCCACCATTTTCAACAATCAACATTTTCAGAAGATTTCAACATATCTCAAAGCAACACACCTTCTCGACTTCCCAGGGCCAACAGCCATCCAAGTTCGTTTAAGATCTTAAGTATTTCATAGCTACTTTAGCCTATGACCTTTGACGAAGCTACCCCAAGAAAAATCAATAGGCTTTTCCCGCCCCTCCTAAAATTAGCATTTACACAAAATTGTCTTAACAGAATTCTTCCAAAATCAGCATTATTGCATAATTTTAGTCTAACAATAGCTCCTGTAGCCTTGACCTTTGACATATCAATCCCAAATTATAGGTAAGGATTTGTTCTGTCTTCCAAAGAGGTATCAACCACCTAAGTTGAGTCTAGATCTTCCGTATCTTTCAAGAGACAGCATCCGGAAATCTACATTTACCCGAAATTTCAGTATTTTTGAAGCCAATATGACATTGACTTCAAAAACCATTAGACTTCTTACCCTGCCCTTCTGATATTTCAGCCAAGTTAACGTAACATGAGTTATTCCAAAGATTCCATCCGAAAACCATCCGTTTTGGACACACAAACGGAGACACAGACGCATAGACAGACAATCTGCTCTGGAGTTCTTTTCCGAGAAGCATGCAATCACCAGTATTATGATAAACTTTGTGAATGTATCAACTCATCATAACTAACGATTTTCTGAACAAGAATACTATGATGTTTCTAAATGATTCTGCTGTTATCATGTTTAGGGTAAACCTCCGAAACTTGAGTGTAAAATTTGTTACCATACGGTTATCTGAAGCATTCTTCTTCAAAACACAGCTAACAGATATATTGTAAAATGCCAAACCTATACTTGTTATATTATCAGATTTCTTACACATTCCAAAGCTAATTGCGTAGCAGGGAAAACTGTTAGGTTTGATAGGCTAGCTCATTGACATTCACCTCTGGCCTCGATTATAACGTCATATAATCAGACAGCAGTGGTACCGACATCGCCGTTTTTCAGATAATAATTTCCTTACGTTCTTAAAACAATGCTTTGTGATATTAAAACAAGGAGGAAGAACTAGAATCTTTATAGCTGGTCTTCAATTTTATATTGTACAACATTTTATATCCAACATAATGTCCTTATATTTGATATCGTAAAACATTTGTCAGTATACTGTATATCTACACCACGTAACGCCAACAGTACACCTCCATTGTTACACCTACTCTACCACAATATTCAAGTCATTTGGAGTGAAATCACGATAAGTCAACAAGATGAATATGTTAAATCACACCGACCACACACACTGGTACAGACAGAGGGGACAGAGTAATAGCACGTACACACACTGGTACGGACAGAGAAATAGCACGTACACACACTGGTACAGACAGAGGGGACAGAGAAATAGCACGTACACACACTGGTACAGACATATTAATAGCACGTACACACACTGGTACAGACATATCAATAGCACGTACACACACTGCTACAGACATATTAATAGCACGTACACACACTGGTACAGACCTATTAATAGCACGTACACACACTGGTACAGACATATTAATAGCACGTACACCCACTGGTACAGACATATTAATAGCACGTACACACCCTGGTACAGACATATTAATAGCACGTACACACACTGGTACAGACAGAGAAATAGAACGTACACACACTAGTACAGACAGAGGAGGAATAGCACATACACAAACTGGTACAGACAGAGGAGACGGAGTAATAGCACGTACATACACTGGTACAGACAGAGGGGACAGATAAATAGAACGTACATACACTGGTACAGACAGAGGAGACAGATAAATAGAACGTACATACACTGGTACAGACAGAGGCGACAGATAAATAGAACGTACATACACTGGTACAGACAGACGGGACAGATAAATAGAACGTACATACACTAGTACAGACAGAGGAGACGGAGTAATAGCACGTACATACACTGGTACAGACAGAGGGGACAGAGAAATAGAACGTACATACACTAGTACAGACAGAGGGGACAGATAAATAGAACGTACATACACTGGTACAGACAGAGGCGACAGATAAATAGAACGTACATACACTGGTACAGACAGAGGAGACGGAGTAATAGCACGTACACACACTGGTAGACAGAGGAGGAATAGCACGTACACACACTGGTACAGACAGACGGGACAGATAAATAGAACGTACATACACTGGTACAGACAGAGGGGACAGATAAAGAGAACGTACATACACTGGTACAGACAGACGGGACAGAGGAATAGCACGTACACACATCGGTACAGACATATTAATAGCACGTACACACTGGTACAGACAGGAGTAGCACGTACACACACTGGTACAGACATATTAATAGCACGTACACACTGGGACAGACAGGAGTAGCACGTACACACACTGGTATAGACAGGAGTAGCACGTACACACACTGGTACAGACAGACGGGACAGAGGAATAGCACGTACACACACTGGTACAGACAGAGGAGACGGAGTAATAGCACGTACACACACTGGTAGACAGAGGAATAGCACGTACACACACTGGTACAGACAGGAGTAGCACGTACACACACTGGTACAGACAGACGGGACAGAGGAATAGCACGTACACACACTGGTACAGACAGACGGGACAGAGAAATAGCACGGACACACACTGGTAGACAGAGGAGTAATAGCACGTACACACACTGGTAGACAGAGGAATAGCACGTACACACACTGGTGCAGACAGAGGAGGAATAGCACGTACACACACTGGTACAGACAGAGGAGGAATAGCACATACACAAACTGGTACAGACAGAGGAGACAGATAAATAGAACGTACACACACTGGTACAGACAGAGGAGGAATAGCACCTACACACACTGGTTAAGGACTGTATCACTATACAGTATATGGTGTGTATACATACTATCCCTGTGTCCTCCTAGGCCTTTACCAGTATGTCTGGGCGGCTCCTTTGTGTAAAGCAATTGCTTCTGAGCAGAAGATGGCGATCATATGAAATTAATTAACTTAATAATACCATTCACACAACACCTTCCACAACAGTGCTGAGTGATCAGACAGACAACTAATACATGCGTCGTGCATTGTTTATGCTTGTTCGACAGAATTCTCGCCATCTCTCTCCTGGAAAAATCCGGAATTGGATGAAGATTCGCGCACTGTAACTGTCCCTCCTGTTGTAGTAACATCCGTCACCATCACGTGATCCAGCATTGTTTTGACGTCAGAAGGAGGACGCCAGTAGTCTCTTTGCTCCACAGGTTGCGAAAAATGGATAGATTTGCCCGACTCATGTCGAGATTCCTTCTCAAGAATACTAACACCTTGCATGTTTTCTTTCCTGTCCTTCAGAAACATACCGGTCTCAATCTTTTTAGATTTGGAAAAGTCCATATCTTTAATTTTCATTTGTCCTTCGTGGATTTTCTTGACTTTTGGTTTATTAGTCAGCGCTAATAAGCTCGAGTTCGGCTTTCTGATGACAGTGTTTCTTCCAACACCTCGTAATCCCCTACCTAGCCCCCTCCCACGGGACACCCTTCCCCTCCCGGATAAACCACGTCCCCTTCCTCCGAGAGGAGGACGGCCACGACCACGCCCTCTACCAGGAGAGCCACGCCCTCGCCCACGGCCACGACCACGAATGACGCCAACATTGAGCCTCAGTGTTGGTGGGCCGCCTCTTCCGGACAGAGGCGGACGCCCGCGGGGACGACCCCGCGGCCGTTTGATAGGGATCAGTTGGGGAGGGGGAGGTGAATGAGAGCCGTCGGGCGGGGAGAATCCGTGCCCACTTGACAGCGAGTTGAACGAATCATTGTTTTGGGACGAATCCGTAGCTTCCTTGGACAGTGCAAGATCGCCATCAGCCAACACGGAGTTTGAAGCGCCATCTCCATGGTGGGAAGACATCGGACTCTTCCTGTCTGATATCTTGAACGAGATTTCTTCCGAGCTTGAGTCGTCTGTATCGTCGTCGCTATGGGGATCCTTGTCGCTATCCGCGGCCGAGAACTCGGAACTGTCTTGTCGTCGCTGATCCGAGTCGTCCGACTCCTGTAAACACAAATATAAGGGGACCAGCTAGTTCAATACCAGTAAGTTGGACAATAGTAGCTTATTCCTTTCTTCAGCTATAAAACAAGGTCAAAAGAACTTCTTAAAGCTAGACTATCGACAATTATCAATTGCATTTATGGCGATACCGCGATGTACTACAACAACTTGCATGCATCATAATGCTAGCTGTAAAGGCTAACCATTCCCGAGCTTTGACGATGATAAAATAAGGTTTAGTTGTCTAACTACAATCATAGACAAACAGCTGTTGCCAAGAAAACGATGTAGGGGAAGAAGAAAAAAGATCTATCTGCATTTGGTAATTTTTACACTATTCTCACTTGTATATCCCGGCTTAACATACACAAGACATCTGCGGAATGACACATTTGTACATCTCGCCCTGTCTCTGTTTTGACCATTAACCGCACTTGATCTGAGAAACAGAGCTGAACCTCATGGGCTTATCAACGTTTATCTTGGATCATATAAACAGCAAATCATCTGATGCTTGGAGCTAGATGTACACTCAATGTTTAACTATGGTGAAAAAATAGTTGGTTTTGGCTGTACGCTTTACGACACTTAAGTACAATTTTAAATATATTTTGTTTTTGTTTTTAAAAAATTTCAAACGCGGAATGAACTTTTTATAAACTTTCATTTTTTTTTTTAATTTTAAGTTCGACAGAAGTTTACTTAATTTTCAAATATTTCAAATTCAAGTTAAAATAAAAAGGTTTGGCTGATAAATTAGCAAGATTAATCGTCAAACTTGAAATAGTTTATATTTCAAATTCAAAATTCACAGATACCTTACCTAGCCTTACCTTCACGACATTCGTCTGCCTCGTAGGTGGGACAACAACAAAAATGCAAGTCATTTATCATCGATAATAGCAAAACTCTATTTTCTCAGCTTAAATATTCTAATAAAAAATACCGGTGGGACCTGTATCGCACAGCGGTTATTCGATGCTGTTGGAAAACATCTCAAATCTCGGACTTTCAGTGTTAATCGTCAAATTTATTAAAGCAAACTGAGGAAACAGTGAGTTAGCTCACTGAGATATAACACCAACTTTATCTTATCTACATATTCAAACTGTTTGCAGGGGGTATCGGAATGGTCAAATCACAAATCCTTTCCTTCATACACATGAACATAGAAATTGTTCTTCCAATGTGTCAAATAAGAAAAGAAAAAAATTGGGGGGGGGGGATAAATATAGCCAGCAAGCTAATACTATACAGTCAATCTTTGTTGGATTTTTTAAAATGAATCTTACATATTCATACAGGCATCAGCCTAAACAACGATAACCAATTCAACGACAACCTATTGTGACCTTTCAGACAACAACCGCCTATTGTGACCTATCAGACAACGACAACCTATTGTGAACTATCAGACAACGACAACCTATTGTGACCTTTCAGACAACAACCGCCTATTGTGACCTATCAGACAGTAACGGCCTATTGTGACCTATCAGACAACGACAACCTATTGTGACCTTTCAGACAACAACCGCCTATTGTGACCTATCAGACAACGACAACCTATTGTGACCTTTCAGACAACAACAGCCTATTGTGACCTATCAGACAACGACATCCTATTGTGAACTATCAGACAACGACAGCCTATTGTGAACTATCAGACAACGACAACCTATTGTGACCTTTCAGACAACAACCGCCTATTGTGACCTATCAGACAACGACAACCTATTGTGACCTTTCAGACAACAACAGCCTATTGTGACCTATCAGACAACGACATCCTATTGTGAACTATCAGACAACGACAGCCTATTGTGAACTATCAGACAACGACAACCTATTGTGACCTTTCAGACAACAACCGCCTATTGTGACCTATCAGACAGTAACGGCCTATTGTGACCTATCAGACAACGACATCCTATTGTGAACTATCAGACAACGACAACCTATTGTGACCTTTCAGACAACAACAGCCTATTGTGACCTATCAGACAGTAGCAGCCTATTGTGACCTATCAGACAACGACCACCTATTGTGAACTATCAGACAACGACAACCTATTGTGACCTTTCAGACAACAACCGCCTATTGTGACCTATCAGGCAGTAACGGCCTATTGTGACCTATCAGACAACGACAACCTATTGTGACCTTTCAGACAACAGCAACCTATTGTGACCTATCAGACAGTAGCAGCCTATTGTGACCTATCAGACAACGACAACCTATTGTGACCTTTCAGACAACAACCGCCTATTGTGACCTATCAGGCAGTAACGGCCTATTGTGACCTATCAGACAACGACCACCTATTGTGAACTATCAGACAACGACAACCTATTGTGACCTTTCAGACAACAGCAACCTATTGTGACCTATCAGACAGTAGCAGCCTATTGTGACCTATCAGACAACGACATCCTATTGTGAACTATCAGACAACGACAACCTATTGTGACCTTTCAGACAACAACAGCCTATTGTGACCTATCAGACATCGAAAGCTTATTGTGACCTATCAGTCATCGACAGCCTATTGTGACCTATCAGATAACGACAGCTTATTGTGACCTATCAGTCATCGACAGCCTATTGTGACCTATCAGACCACGACAGCCTATTGTGACCTATCAGACAGCGACAGCTTATTGTGACCTATCAGACATTGACAGCCTATTGTGACCTATCAGACAACGACAACCTATTGTGACCTTTCAGACAACAACCGCCTATTGTGACCTATCAGACAACGACAGTCTATTGTGACCTATCAGACAACGACAGGCTATTGTGACCTATCAGACATCGACAGCCTATTGGGACCTATCAGACATCGACAGCCTATTGGGACCTATCAGACATCGACAGCCTATTGGGACCTATCAGACATCGACAGCCTATTGGGACCTATCAGACATCGACAGCCTATTGTACCTATCAGACAACGACAGCCTATTGTGACTTATCAGCCATCTACAGCTTATTGTGACCTATCAGACATCGACAGCTTATTGTGACCCATCAGACAACGACAGCCTATTGTGACCTATCAGACATCGACAACTTAATGTGACCTATCAGACATCGACAGCCTATTGTGACCTATCAGACAACCACAGCCTATTGTGACCTATCAGACATCGACAGCCTATTGTGACCTATCAGACAACGACAGCCTATTGTGACCTATCAGACAACGACAGCATATAGTGACCTATTAGACATCGACAGCCTATTGTGACCTAACAGACAACGACAGTCTATTGTGACCTATCAGATTCTAGACTATACGACAATTATCGGATATTATGCAATGAAAGACCCCTTTTCGACTGTTTGACAATTATATGTACATGCATACTTTTTTCTAAACTACAATGCCTAACACAAATGTTAAACATAGACTAAAAGACATTTTAAAACCTATTTTGGCTAAAAGACATTTAAAACATAAGTATTCCTTTTCCCCCAGATCCACCTGGGAATGGAATAAACTCCCAGAAGAGGTAGCAACACCAGCTACACTGGACGAGTTTAGGGCCAAGCTCAACACCATTGCTTGGCCGCTCAGCATCCGGTAGACTAGCACCCTACGATCCTGTATATACTTTTAACATTTCTGCTATATGACAATGTGAAACATTAATATAACTGGAAGCTGGATGAAGCTAAGGCGAAAATTTCGGGTCGAGATATGTATATATGTCACGAAATGGATGCCAAGCCAAGTTATTTTAATAGAGTGTTACGAATTTAAGCGTATAATCCCAGAAGAAATGCATGTTCTCCAACCACTGTCTTTTACTAATACCATATTGTTCTGTGACGTCACAACTGCATGCTATGATAGCAATGTGATTAACAGAATCTGATTCAACTTTGCAGGCGAGACCGAGTGACCGGAAAACATCCTATTTTTTCTTTCTTCCTTCAAAAGTGTACAGCAGTGATAATTTTCTCCCACTGTTTAAAATATGCTTCAGGTGAAAACAAAAGATATCTGTGCCAACTGTCCAAACAAGTGACGTCATCTGGTTATTAAGGAGCTACTTATTTTTTATAGTTCGTCTTCTGCCAAACAATGCTGTGGACACCAAGAGCCTGTATTTGTGCACACATAGCATCTATGGGTATGGGTAGTTTACGAGTAGTAGTGTGCATCCGAATAACCTCGAAATCCCTGGGGTCATATGAACATACATGTACGTCTGTGACATAGCTTTTAATTATAAAAAAATAAATGAGGTTTTTTAGATGCACGTATTTTTCTGTAAGATTATTACACACACCGTAATCAGGCTAATATTTAGAGTTACCTGCAGTCGCATCTTCTTAGGTTTTGGTCCCCTTCGTCGTACATGGTTCTCTTTTTCGTACCTGTCAGAAGGAGAAAAATGGAGATGGCTATCGAAGTGTAAGTACAAGTGTATCAATGCCAACGTCTTCTCCTTCACAAAGTCAGTGTTAGGCTCATGTGCAACGAAGTATTATAAAACAAAAGTATGTGCAACGAAGTGTTATTAAACAAAAACTTTGTCCGACAAAGTATTATAAAACAAAGGATATGTGCAGCGAAGTATTATAAAACAAAAACTGTGTGCAACGAAGTATTATACAACAAAATGCAACGAAGTATTATAAAACAAAGGTTATGTGCAACGAAGTATTATAAAACAAAAAATATGTGCGCCGCAGTTTTATTAAACAAAAACTGTGTGCAACGAAGGATTATACAACAAAAACTGTGTGCAACGAAGTATTATACAACAAAAACTATGTCCGACAAAGTATTATAAAAAAAAAAATGTGCGCCGAAGTATTATAAAACAAAAACTGTGTGCAACGAAGTATTATAAAACAAAGGTTATGTGCAACGAAGTATTATACAACAAAATGCAACGAAGTATTATAAAACAAAGGTTATGTGCAACGAAGTATTATAAAACAAAAAAATATGTGCGCCGAAATTTTATAAAACAAAAGATATGTGCGCCAAAGTATTATTAAACAAAAACTTTGTCCGACAAAGTATTATAAAACAAAGAATATGTGCAACGAAGTATTATAAAACAAAGGTTATGTGCAACGAAGTATTATAGAACAAAAAATATGTGCGCCGAAATATTATAAATCAAAAACTGTGTGCAACGAAGTATTATACAACAAAATGCAACGAAGTATTATAAAACAAAGGTTATGTGCAACGAAGTATTATAAAACAAAAAATATGTGCGCCGCAGTTTTATAAAACAAAAACTGTGTGCAACGAAGTATTATACAACAAAAACTGTGTGCAACGAAGTATTATACAACAAAAACTATGTCCGACAAAGTATTACAAAAAAAAAAATGTGCGCCGAAGTATTATAAAACAAAAACTGTGTGAAACCAAGTATTATAAAACAAAGGTTATGTGCAACGAAGCATTATAAAACAAAAAATATGTGCGCCGAAGTATTATAAAACAAAAACTGTGCGCAACGAAGTATTATACAACAAAATGCAACGAAGTATTATAAAACAAAGGTTATGTGCAACGAAGTATTATAAAACAAAAAATATGTGCGCCGAAGTTTTACAAAACAAAAGATGGTACTGATTGGAGTTTCCTGACAAGTACCGGCAAGATATTATCTGGGATCTCATTAATTATCATACTTATTTATCAAAGAAATAATGTTTCTCAAAAAACAGTTTTTCTTTTTATAGTGAATATAGAAAATAGAATGCCAATAACATCAGATTATTTTTCGATACTAAAATAAATTAAGTATATTTACAACTTAAAGAGGCAGTATGTTTTGTATTGTTTTACATTCATCAACAATTTCAGTCATTTAGAGAAAATAAGTCATCAAATATAAATACAAATGAAATATTATTTCTACATCTCTCTTTCTAAAAGCCAAAATAAATGCTGAATGTCTATATAACGATCCCAAACCCCTTCCACAACAAATAAGTAAACCATCGCTGCGAGAAACTCCTCGCAGGTATGGATTTTGAAACAATAATATATTCAAGCGAATTAAATCTGAAAAAAAAATATAATCACTTGACATTTAACATTATCATCGAACTTACTAACTAACGAACTAACGAGATATATTACTTATCAAACCATACCCAGGGTCACTTAGATCTCTTCGGTTACGTTAGTTCGTGCAAAAAAAATGTATTGTTATAATTCTGAAAATATGAATTTTGCCATCCGCCTTTCCTTTCTCCTCCACAGGGAAACTAGAAAGACCGTGTACAACAATGAATTCTGGTTAAACAGTTATGGTAAGTTTAGTTTTGTCTTGCTCAAAGTATAACAAAAAAATAAAAAAAAATACACATATTGACAACGAGCTAACCTCCGTAATACATGTCGGCATCCTCCCTATTGTAATATGTATATCCAATATGCTTTAATTTATAGTATTTTATACAAATGAAATAAATTTCCAACCTCAAATGTACACTTGGCATTATAAAGCTTCGTTTAGCCTGCACAGAAAAAAAGTAAGAGTAGAAGAAAGAGAAATTAATTATACGAAATCGTTAGATTAAAAACATAATAACTACGCTATGAGAGGAAAAAAATGTCAGTTCATAACTGCTTCCTTAGATTAAATATCGATCTGAGCAACACATTGCTTGATTATATGTAAACAAAAATATCCACATCAGGATGGACTTGACAATACAGCGATTATTAAACGATTTTCCGAGAAAACGCTAAAAAAACGAAAACACTTTGTTCGCTTTGTTGTAAAAAAAAAGAGAATAATTAACACTAAAAACCTGGCTTTCGGAACACGACTATCGGCCCCCCCCCCCCCCCCCCCGCATTATGTTTATGTACCATAAGGGGGTGTACCTGCAGTGTAGTTGAATTACTTCTGATATGAAATTTATGAATAAAAAGTACGTTAAATACTGTATGTATATATTTCAGGTTAATATGTCTATAAAATGTAACCGTTATTTTTTTTGTGATAATGAAATATATATATCTAGTTCAGTAATGTACAACACGACAGTCAATTATTTTAATTTTGCTGTTTCAATTACTTTAAATTTAGTTTGCACGCTTATTATCAAAACCCTACATCTGGCAATATTTGCATAAATAGCTAACCCAAGTGCATTATATCATACATCCTATCCAATGAATGTATTGTGCAAATTTCTAACAAAATCAACCATGCACGAATATGGCCAACTATGGCATGTTAATTAAAACGATAAAACCGTAACAGCTACGTTACTCACTGAGAGTTGAAAGCCTGGATGAGGCGAGCGTCCAGGATGTTTTCCTCCGGCTCCCACGTGTTGTACCTAGGAAAAGAAAACAAAGAGGATGTAGCAAGATCCGAGGGCGCCGGCCCGGGGGACGGGCGACACGCGACATGTGAAAACTGACCAGGGAGCGTATATACGAGCACTTACTTAGGTGACCAGCCTTTCCACTTGACGAAGAACTCGACTTTTCCCTGCAAAGTAAAGCATATCATTACAGGGATATGTAAGGTACAGTGTCAAGTAGGAATCGCGGAAACCAGTCAGCCCCGTGACCGAGAAATGTCTCCCTTACCCCATACCAGCCTCACAGAAACTCACCCTCCGTATACGCTTCTTCTGTATGCATTCGGCAGCAAAAACGCGTTCCCCCATTGTCCTTATTTCCATAATATGTCCCCAAATCCGATAAATATTACGATCGACACATACGTTCGATCGCCACAACGCCAGGGATATAAATACCACATCCCATAATGCTACCAAGTGACGTCACAAATTAGCATATCTGAGGCCGCAGCGGCCTGTGAAAGTTCAATGCGCCGCGTAGCTGGCTAAAATGTTGCCAAATACATTAATGTCGTACTAATGTTGCCCTTTATATATATTACGAGTTTATTGTTTACTTTTCATATACGTAAATGTATAAATGAAAACTAAGAATTACATTAAATTTGTAGTAGTATTATGCTATCCAAGTCCGTGGTAGTTGGCAGAAGTGTGACTGCTGAAATTGTAACAAAATAGAAAGAAACGTTGTTGTAACTTGATAAGATACCTTTACTTTTAATATCATGGGGTTAATTATATTTAAAGAATACAATTAAATTCCATATTAAAAATAAATATAATAAATATACAATCTAACACTTGTATGTGCGACTCTTATCAAGTTTACGGCATCAGTTTAATTATAATTATAAATCCAAACAGAAACAAAAGACTTTTTTGTATATTATATATCAGAATTTAGAAACAAGAAATTAAATAGAATGATGAAAAGAGTCTCATTCAATAATCATATTTAAATATTGATTTTGTTTTACATATATTTGTAGTCGTTCAATCAATGATGGTTCAGACACAGGTATTCTCTCTGATTTTTTCTGATATTGAAAACGGATTATTTCAGGGGGAAATATTATCACCCCTTTTGTTTGCCATATATGTTTCATAATTGTGAAATGCAGTTTTTATCAGATAATTGTTCATCCATTGAAATACAGGATATCAATATGTTTTTACTTATGTATGCAGATGAAGATGATATGGTGATTATATCTGAAACACCAGAGGGTTTGCAAACAATGTTAGACTCTCTTGCAAATTATACCAAAAAAAAAATGGGATTTGACTGTAAATACTGGGAAAACTAAAATTGTCGTGTTTAGAAATGGAGGATATTAAGGGGAAATGAAATTTGGTTTTACGAAGGAAATAAATTGGATGTTGTTGATCAATTAACAACAATTAAATTACCTGGGTGTACTATTGAATTTTAATGGAAAATTTAGACAAACTCAAAAGCAATTTGATGACCAGGGGAGAAAAGCATTGTTTGCATTATTAAATGTTTGTAAGAAACAATATTTTAATAAAGAAACTCAATTGTCTTTTTTTGATACTTATGTAAATAGTGTTTTAAGTTATGGAGCAGAAGTTTGGGGCTTCCATGCCGCACCAGATATCGAAAAATTGCATGTGAGATTCTGCAAACAAATATTAGGATTACATAATAAAACTAGTAATGTTATGGTGTATTATGAACTTGGAAGATACCCCATGCAAATAGCTAGAAAATTACGTATATTTGAATATTGGATAAAACTGAAAGACAAAACAGATTGTGTACAGCATGTGACCTGAAAAATGTCGAGGACGAGTTCCATTTCATTTTAAATTGTCCTTGTTATATTAATATAAGGTTGAAACTAATTAAGAAATATAATGTAAGACATACAAGCATGAACTACTTACTTGTGAGAATGTATCCGACATTAGAAATCTTGGCAAGTATTTAATACAAGCAAACAAAAGGAGATCTGAGCTGATAGCTCGTTAGTGTTCACGTGTGTGTGTGTGTGTGTATCATATTGTATGTTGTCTCTGTATTATTTTGTATATACGTTATAACTGATAAGTCAACCGACTTAAAGTAATAAAGAACTTGAACTTGAACTTGACAGAATTTTATTCATAACAACAAAAATAAGAATAAATCCATTTTGATGGCAATTAGTTATGGGAAATGTCTATTATTTCAATATATATCAATATTTTCATTTATGTGTTAACAGTTTTTTTGTGTGAAAAAGATGTTGTCTATTTTTGTATCAATCAGTGAATTGTGACCAGCGTTGTATCTATTTCTGTATAAACAAGTGTTGTTTTAATTTCTGCATAAATTATTGTTGTTTATTTTTGTGACCAGTGATGTTTATTTAGGTATGAATAAGTGATTTATTTTTATTTTTTTTAAACCCGTAATATTTATTTCTGCATAAACCAGTGTTGTTTATTTCTGTATAAACCAGTGATGTTTATTTCTGTATAAACCAATGTTGGTTTTATTGCTGTACAAACCAATGTTGTTTTTTATATCTGTATAAACTATTGTTGTTTATTTCTGTATAAACCAATGTTGTATTCATTTCTGTATTAACTATTGTTGTTTATTTCTGTATAAACCAGTGTTGTATTTATTTCTGTATTAACTATTGTTGTTTATTTCTGTATAAACCAGTGTGTTTTTTTTATTTCTGTATAAACTATTGATGTTTATTTTTGTGACCAGTGATGTTTATTTTGGTATGAATAAGTGATTTTTTTATTTCTGTGTAAACCAGTTATATTTATTTCTGTATAAACCAGTATAATTTATTTCTGTATTAACCAGTATTTTAAATTTCGGTATAAACCAATGTTGTTTATTTCTGTATAAAAAGTGCCATAATAATGTACCAGGCATTATTTTATATCTAGTTATGAGAACATGAGCTGTCCATGGTTAAATGTATCAAATTGTATCAGTTAATGGGGGAATGACCTGAACGCCAACGTTATCATGATTAAAGGATCATGCTTTTCGACATGTTCAAATTTGTTTACTTGTTCTACGCTTTGTGCTTAATACAAATACCGATTTATTTAGGAACCTTAATTAGGTTACAGTAATACTGCTACCGATTTATTTAGGTACATTAATTAGGTTTCAGTATTACTGATACCGATTTATTTAGGGACCTTAATTAGGTTACAGTAATACTGCTACCTATTTATTTAGGTACATTAATTAGGTTTCAGTATTAATGATACCGATTTATTTAGGTACCTTAATTAGGTTACAGTAATACTGCTACCGATTTATTTAGGTACATTAATTAGGTTACAGTATTAATGATACCGATTTATTTAGGTACCTTAATTAGGTTACAGTATTAATGATACCGATTTATTTAGGTACCTTAATTAGGTTACAGTATTAATGATACCGATTTATTTAGGTACCTTAATTAGGTTACAGTATTAATGATACCGATTTATTTAGGTACCTTAATTAGGTTACAGTATTACTGATACCGATTTATTTAGGTACCTTAATTAGGTTACAGTATTACTGATACCGATTTATTTAGGTACCTTAATTAGGTTACAGTATTACTGATACCGATTTATTTAGGTACCTTAATTAGGTTACAGTATTAATGATACCGATTTATTTAGGTACCTTAATTAGGTTACAGTAATACTGATACCGATTTATTTAGGTACCTTAATTAGGTTACAGTATTAATGATACCGATTTATTTAGGTACCTTAATTAGGTTACAGTAATACTGATACCGATTTATTTAGGTACCTTAATTAGGTAACGGTATTACTGATACCGATTTATTTAGGTACCTTAATTAGGTTACAGTAATACTGATACCGATTTATTTAGGTACCTGCAAAACATCACATCTATCGATAAATCTATATCAATATATATCATATAGAGTAAATATCATAGCTAATCTATTTTCTTGTGTTCCTATAATCATAACGATGTCCCAGTCAAACGTTTATTGATCAAACTGATAATGTACATTATGTGTATGCATGCAACGATGACTGTTCTTTCTGTGTATACATGTTCATTGCGACACACATGGCCCCTATGGCAAGCCATACGTGATATCTACATTTTAAATAAATTATGTGTACAGGTAACCAGTGATCTAATATTAGGCATGGCTTATTAATGATTTATATATACCCTCACGCACGTGAATGCATTCTCCTTTTAACAATTTTCATATTTTATGTCAAATCTATTTATAGTCACATGCGATCAAAACCGTGACAGTGTCATACTGTACCGACTTTTCTTATGTTGGTCTCATTGTTACTTCACGTGACTGCTCATTTTCAAATATTCAGTGTTTTTTGTTTACATGGTACGTTTAAATATATAGTAATTAGGTTTGACACTTTCAATTGCTGGATTGCACATTATGATTTATTCATGAAATTCCGGATACTGATTCGCTATTCTACTCCATGTTTGTTTTACATGTGTCATAGAATAGCGATCGGTACCTTTTATGCTTAGGTATACGGAAGATGTGTGATGACGTCATCGATCACTTTTTGTTTTGGTTTAAATTCTTGGTTAAAACTACTTCATCAATTGCATAGCTACCTTTTTGGTTAATATTATATTTATTTCATGTTTCCGAAATTTCGAGTTTTCTGTGATTTTGGTAATGCTTTTATTAATGCTATTATGGCTGTTGAGTCCAATCCTGGTCCGAGACTTGGCGAGCTTTCTATATTTCATCTAAATATTAGGAGCGTTAGACATAAATACGACAACATCGAGGACACAGTAGATGACTACGACATTGTGTGTCTTACCGAAACTCATTTAGATGATAAGGACAATACTAACGATTTATGTTTTGATGGTTTTCATTCTCCCTTTCGACTTGATAGAAATTTTGCGGGGGTGGTATTTTGGTTTATATAGATAATCTTTTGAAAGTTGATCGTTTGCCAGAATTGGAATATCCTGATGATGAGGTAATATGGACAAACATTAGCCTACCTCACTCGACTTACGTTATTGGAACAGCTTATAGACCAGAAAACCCTACCCTACCGTTTTAAACAATGCTCTTGATATATCCCTAATGTAGTAGTAACAGGGGACTTAAATGTTGACTTCGTCACTGCTTCAAATAATTACGTTCTTTTTGACATCATTAACTCCTTATGACTAACTAGTGTTATACCAATCCGACTCGTACTGGACGTACTAGATCTAGCTTACTAGATCCTTTACTTTTAACTGACTCTATTTCTTGTATTGACTCTTCTGTAATTTCTATTGATGGAACATTTAGTGACCACGATGGTTGCGCTGCTTCCATTAATCTTCCTAGTCTTTTTAAACCAGTATATGAACGTAAGATTTGGCCAAGAGTGCTAATTTTGAAA